TTTTTTAGTTTGGCCTTTTGCAAAAATCTTTACCATTATAGAATCTATTCAAATAAATTACATTATGCCATTGCCTTTCATAAAAATTCTTATTGATAGAATTTCTTTACAAGTGCCAAATAAATACTTATAAGTTGTCATGTGTTTGGTGGCATCCAAATCAACAATCTACTTAGATATAGAAGCCATAGAAGTGCCCTCACTTGCCATGAATGCATAATCACCTCCTTTAAATTCATCATGTATATTATGGACATTTTATCTTTTTTATTTCTTAATCTTATACCAATTACAAGCAAAGTGACTTGATTTTCTACAAATAAAGGAAGTTTTTACATTGTCATGTTTGTTAGAATAACTTTCCTTTCCTTGATTTAAAAAGAGAGCCAAATTTTCATTTTGAGTTTTTTTTATTTTTATTTTTTATTTTTTATTTTTTTTTGTTACTTTATGAATAAGACTTATTGTCACATAGTCTATTGTAAGTTCTTTTAGCTAAATAAATTCCAATGCTACAATAAAGTAGTTGTAGGACTTGCAAAGGCTCATGATCAAGATCATGACAATATCACTCTCTTCTAAAGACTTCTCAACAATTACTAATTGATTTGCAAGAAACTTTACCTTATTGACATAAGCCATTAAATCTTCATCTATTTCTATTTTACATGTAAAGAATTTTTTTATGTAGATAATGTTGGATAAGTTCTTATTCTCATAAATATTATAAAAAATCTTCTATACTTCTACTAGTCCTTTGCAAGAAATGATGTATGAGAAATTGGTTTTATCTAAATTAATAGCAATTATGCCAAAAACCTTCATATTATATCTTTTTTACTATTTATTCTTCTTTAAATCACCATGCATGCTTTAAGGCTCTTTACTTTTATTTATGATATCTCAAATATCTAGTAATGATAATAAAAGTTTTATTTTTATATTCTAATAGTAGAAAGTTTTTCTTCTAGACTTCTCAATAAACTTCAAGACTTTACACTCACTTAAAACTAGGTCTAAAGAAGAGATGTGTAAAACAAATCAAGAGAAGGAGTCTTGAAATTTTTAAAATCGGCAAGAAGGTATTACAATCCCATAATGCCTTTTTGTGTAAAAAATAAAGTTTGCACTTTCAAAAGACACTTAACTTTACTTCTAAGGCTTTTCACAAGTACTATGAATAATATAAATTAATCAAATTTTCCACTCTTAAATCACATCTATGCTTAAAAATCATCTCTTAGCATTATAAGAGGACTTTGAAGTATCTTAAAGCTTCTTTAACAAATGAAACTACAAAGTTAGTCTACCAAAGATCTAACTCAGCAAGAGAATACAATACTACCTTAAGGTATAAAACAAACTCCAAAACCATAAAAACACTTAACTACATGTACGTTTAAACAAAGATTTAGATCTAGATCTAAATTTGAAAGTTAGGAGATTCCAAATTCAAATATCAATAATAATATGGTTTTCTTCTTACAACAAAAAAAATTGCATAGAATTTTAAAATCTATAAGAAATAGTAAATGGTCTTATAACATATTTTAAAAAAAATAAATTACCTAGAAGATATAAAACTTAGTATCAGCAAGATTATATACAAAGAAAAACGTGGAAAAAAAATATTTTTTACTTCTAATACTTTATTCTTATAGGTAGTGGTACATATCTAAATAGACTACTTCCATTACTTCACTATTACATTTATATGTTAGATATGTCTAAAATATCCTTTGGCATCTCATCTAGTAGTAGGATATTTCTTGACATATATTTTATGTACTTACCTATCTTAATATATTTTCTAATAAATCTTTTATCATCTTAATCTCATCTCTTAGTCTTTTACTTTGTAGCTTATCCATAATTTGGCCCTTCTACATCTCAAAAGCCAATCTTTTAATTATTAGCAACTTACTTACGGTAATATTATTTAAATGGTTATTATTTTTTATTATAATTTTTTTTAATAATTATTCTTGAACTAATATCAAAATTGGTAAATAAGGGATTTATTATTCTAATTAGAATTTGGTAGCAAAGATGGTAGTTGATCATGACTTTTATTGTAAATATAGAAAATTATTTTTATTATTCTTTCTCAATTATTCTCTCTAAATGTGGCTATAAAGACTTCTAGAATTGAATTTAGATCATATAAGAGTCGTAAATTTTTTTCTATCAAAGGTGAAAATTAAGAGAGAATAGTCTCAAATAAAAATACACTTATAAATCCAACTTGAATAAGTTTTTTAAGATATTGGAAAAGATATAACTTATATAGAACTTGAATTATTGTAAAAATCTTCAAAGTTTTTATTTTGTTCCATCAAACTTTTCTATCATACTAATCTTAGATTCTTTCATATTTATACTAATAAATCTTTTTAAATTTACATATAGGATTAATGTGCTTACTTCTTTCAATTGCACAACTTCATGATATAGACATTGGACTTCATTTTGAATTCTTCTATAGATATATTAATAATACTTCCATGGTTAACATTAATAATACATTAATTTTTTTTTGTTAACATTGCTATCAAATTTATGAAGATTTTCAATAGTTGCATAACTTTAATGTACAATCATAAAAAGAGAGATAATCTACTTACTTCAAAATAAAAACAAGAACAACAAATTAGTATTCTTATCAAACTATCAAAGACATGATATATAATAAAACTCTAAAGAAGCAATACACTCTTATGACACTCAAAATAAAAAAGTGGTCAAATCAAAGATAGATTTAAGATAGAAACTAAAATAGCTATTGCCAAATACAAAGAGACTAGAGATTCTTGAGTTAAGACAAGAATATAAGAAAGGTGTTGACTAGAGTAAAGAAAGCCTTATTTTTTCTTCTATATCTATTATCTAACTAAGGATTTACACAAAAATGTTCTATATGTCATTTAACATGTACTCAACTTGTAAAACATGTCTCTAACTTGCAAAGTAAGTTTTTCACACGTGTGCCACATGGCCAACTTATTGGCCAAGTTTTCAATCTACTAATTACCTACAAATACTTGTAAAGTCAAATTTGCATCTATCAAGCTTCCAAAAAGTCTTTCTACAAGATACTATCAAATTTATTTATATTTAGTTATATCTAACTCCTCTTATCTTTTCAATTATTAATGCCAATATTGATTTCTATGACAAGCAATAGGTTTTAAAATACTTATTTTGATTCTTTGCTTAGATGATTTTTAGATTTTTAGATTAATTTTTGTGGATGAATTTTAGATGGAAAATTGAAACTAATGTAAGAGTATAATTTACATGCATAATTAAATCATTGAAAAAAAGGTATAGATTAATAGAATAATTGTATAAAAACTTTAATTTGGATATGTTGTATTTTTGTGGATGATAAATTGAAATAACTTGAATTATATGGATTATAATGAATATTAATTAGATGGATTTTTGCAATCCAAATGGCCAATAGAATAATAACTTAGACTAGAATACAAATGCAACTTAGCTCATTTAAGATCAATAAATAATATTAACCTTTGAAGAAATAAATAATTATGTGGAGTTTTAAGCTATCTAATTTAGATGCACTTATTTATTCTCACAACTAATATAATTCAAAAAATATTCTTCTTTCCAAAAACTTTAAATTTAAGTTTTATATTTAAGATTTGTTTTATCATTACATCATCTCAATTACTTTTTTCTATCAATTTTTGAATAATCTAATAAAAAATTAGACATGTAAAATATATATTTATATATAATAGAATTTTTTAATTAAAATCCAATCAAATCAAAATACAATCATAATTCTATTGAATTAAGTGCTAAGACCACTACTTTATTTTCATCCAAATAAATTAATGAGATATTTGACTATAATTTATAGATAATAAAATCTTCTTTGTTATATATAAAAAATATTTTGGATTTTATAATATTAATCTATAAATAATCATTAATATTATCTAATATAGTGATTTTTTTAAATAATTTTTTTTATATACAAGTAATAATTTTTTTGTTGAGCTAATTTAAACAAATTTAGTTGTCTTTATATTCGTAAGAAGAAATTATATTATTGATTCATACACAACATCTTCTCTAAAAATTTGATTTCTTTTTGTAATCAATTATTGTATCAATGATGAAAATATGTGAACTTTAATTTTATATCATCATTTTATTTTTGATAAATAAAATTATATTTTAAGATTCATCTTTATGATTTTATTACAAAATTCAAATACTTGAGTTGGCTTACACCATGCTTATCTTTAATTAAGTTAACACATGTATAGGAGAAGTAATATCCAACAAGTTGTTTATTACTAGTAGCAATATTCTCTTTTTTCTTCCAATTTGAAGCACCCCTTCATCTTCTAAACATGAAATATATGGCACTAAAAACTATTTGAGCAACTCTTTTAAATTAACTAATCTAAATGGGCACATTATTATTATTTTTTATTTACTAAGAATTATTTCAATTAAGAAAAAACATGAACTTAAGGATTCCAAGCATTAGACAAATCTATTAACCACATTCATATGCCAACTCTTTGATTCCTTTACACATGGTTCACATTTAGACCTGGAAAATGCATGAAAATCAGAATCAAGCATATTCTTGGAAGACCATCATAGATCCAATAACTTTCATCCTAATTCAACTAATTAACTAATTCCTGCAAATAAAAATCATATCAAGTATATTTTGCTTTCTGTTACAAATGAAATGATAAGTTTTCAAGATAGTGTCCCACTGAAGGTTTATTTGATAAGAATTTAAAACTAATGTGTGTGTGCATTCATTTTGTGGTCCGAGATAGAGCTGAACCTTCAGTATCAAATCAATATTCCGGAGCCAGAGCTGGGGCCGCTTGAAACAAACCCAAGCCTATCTTTAAGAGCTCAAAGACGCCCGCACCGACTACTGCGTAAGGCTGCGTCGCCAGGGCAGACGAGGCTACCGAGGCCCCTCTGTCGGAGGGGGAGGAAGAGGGGGAGGGGGAGGAAGAGGGGGAGGGGGAAGGGGACGAGGAGGAGGACGAGGACTGCAGCTGTTGATGCATCCAGATCCATTTGCAGCACAGCGTCGGAGGAGCTCCAGCAATCAATCAAACAATCTCCTCCTCCTCCTCCTCCACCTTCTCCCCCCCCCCACCCCCGATCCATTCCTCTCTCCGCCCACACCTCCCTCCATCTTATAAGCCTTCTTTTCCTTCGATTTGGCGTCACCTGTTACCGGAACTGGGACACCCCCTGGGGAGGGTAGACGCAGAGGGAATTGCTGGGTGACACTGGTGTGTCGGAGTGGTGGTTGCTTGGAAGGGAAGGAGGAGAACAGTAGAGGGAGGAGAGTAGCGGAGCGGAGAGGTGAGGAGAGGAGAGAAGAATTGAGTAGAGATCATTTTTTTTGTTTATTTTTTAAGAGTGTAGGGAAATGGTTTTGTTCATGAGTAGTTTAGTTGGTTCCCTGAGTTAAGGAGGAGGTCAGGTGTGGGAAGACGGTTTGTCATGGCGCAGAGCGGTAGGCCGCTGCCTCCGCAGCTGGATAAGACCAGCACCAAGGAGCTTAACCTCGTCGTCTTGCAGCGGATGGACCAGTTCGTAGAGGATATTTTGGCTACTGCCACTCATGTCAGCGTCTATCAGATGAATTCGGATACCAACCAATGGGTACGTCGCAGTTCCATGGTTTAGGCGAAATTTGGGACTAGCTGCTCCGGTGCGATTTTGTTAGCTGTGTTGTAGTGGAATTTTTCTTATGGGGTAAGAGTTCGGACGGGTCTGAGTGAGATCAATGGTTTCTCTGGTGGTTGGTGGTTTCATGGTTTGCGGTGGCTCTAAAAACGGTGGATCGTTTGTATGATTACTGACTAACAGTAGGTCTTGAGCATGAACTAGCGCTCTGATAACGTTGAGTAGGGTTTACAGGTGGTGATTTTATCTGCGAGTTGATGCAGTCAGGTGCTGAGGTGGTGAAGAAATACACCCGAATTTTTTTCTCTTAAAAGAGTCCACTCGTTAGGGTTCTAGCCTTACGTGGGATGTCTTCCAGCGTTATTGCATTGAGTAGATGGTTAGATTTTAATTCTTAACGAAAGCACTAGCAGACTGAGATGTTGGGGAATGCGAACAGTGTGCGGAACGATTCCTGCTAGATTTTTATTGCTGGCTTTGAATTATGGCAGATGTCAATCGACACGCCTGTAATTGTTTTCTTGTGTTTGATTTCAGATTAGCAAGGATGTGGAGGGTTCACTGTTTGTCGTAAAAAGGTGAGGATTCAGTATTCCTCTGCAGCCTATATTTGGTTTTGTATTATACTGTTCACTCGCGAGGGGAATGGGGTTTGTGAGTTGGATTGTGATGCGTGGAGGTCTTTACTACAGGGGAAGACATCCACGGTTCCAGTTCATAGTGATGAATCGACGAAGCACAGGTGCGTGTCTATGGAGGTAGAAGAAAGAAATGATCATAGAATTCGTTCGATTATTGGAGAACTTGGGCTCTCGATACGTTTTCTTAATAAAAAATGTGGCAATCTAAGTTGTGAATACTCTCTGACTTTAGGGTGGTTTTAATGTGTTGGTATGTAGTCTAGGAGATGATATCTAAATTCGATAGAGGAATGTGAATTTCAGATTTCAGGTGGTCTTTGTGACGAAGTTATACGACAAGCATCGTGAAGATTGGTCGTCATGTAAATGAATTTGAAAGGATCCGTAATTTTCCTGTACTTACTTTTCTGGTTTGTTGAGTTGTGGGCAGATAATTTGGTGGAGAATCTATCGGGTGATTTAGAGCACACTTTACAATCTCCATATTTTATTTACCGCAACGCCAACCAGGAAGATTTATGCATTCAATTCCATAATTCGTCGGAGTTTGACGATGTTACCAGTCTTTTCCAGAGGTAATCCAACTGTGTCTAGATTTGGTTTCAGTTAGTATTTTGCAATATGAGTTTGTGGAATTCTTCCTTTTTGATTTGCACGTTTCTCTCCATTGTTGACATGATCGAGGTCCAGACGAAGGTGGTTGTAATACACAGCAAGTGAAGTTATCATTTTGTTTGGGGGTCCGCTTAATATTATTGCTGGGATTTTTATTTGGGCTTCAAATTTGTTTTGCATCAGATTGTTAGACAGCCTCTCCAAACATCATCTAAAACCAAGGTCATTTTCGCCAAGGTTTGTTTTCATCGAAATTTGCTGATGTACTTGCGGATTTGGATAAATGCGAGAAAAAGGATATACTCATTTTGGCTGAAATTAGATTGGTTCATGTATAATCAAGTAGCTTGTTATGATGTGTAGCTCGCTACATGTTCTGTTTCTAACACACTGAATTGGTCATTTTACTTTAAGGTTTTTTTCTTGGTTTGTGTTTGCAAGTTTCTTGTGCAGAAGCTTGAATTGGGAATCACGTACGATATCATATGAACTTGAGATGTGATGCATGTGGCTGCTTGAACTGTCATTGATATTTGTGATTTTTTGATGTATGTTTTGATAGCTGAAGTAGAAACAGTTTGTGTTTCCATATGCTTCTTACAGCTCCGAGTTTACAGAACTGGAGACAGTTCCTACATCATTCCACTTGGAAAGTCCACTGGAGCGTGGCCCTCTCGTATCTTCAGCACTCCCCGAGGCTCAGGATGAGCCACATGAGCGTTTCTTCGTATGCATCTGTTTCCTTTGTCATGTTTCTCATTGTGAAAGTCTCTTTGACTTGAGTAGCTTGTTTTGTAACAATGAAGCTGTTCTTCCCTTCAAACAGCTGCTAGATGATATTTTGTGCTATCTAAAGTCTTACTTTGAGATGCAAACAAGCTGCACTTAGCTATCCTCTTTCAGGTGTATCTGTGGTTGCTCATTTCTTGCGTTGCATCCCCTCCAGTAGTCTAATTGATCTATTGACCAATTAATAAATTATTTGCATGTCGGATCAAATCCTATTTGTTCTCTACTCATGTTTGCTTTCTTCTTATTTTCGGTTCTCTTTATTTTTCATGTTTTCTGTATTCTGACTTTGTTGCTGCTCCTAGTTTTTCACTGCATAACACAATTGGAAATCCTGTTATATTTTTACTATACTTTTTGAAAAAATAATTATGAAATTTAATGCATTTTACTCTTACGTTTTGAATGTGCAGCATAGCACATTTCGCAGCACCTCACCTGATGTTATCCTCACAGGGCCTTCTCGTCCTCCAACAACTTATCCAGTGCAACCTCGCACAATCGTATCTGCACCTCATACTCTTCCACCTATGCCTATGCCATCTTTAATATCGCCACCGACAACTGCTTTACCGCCTACTTCTCTAGCACCGGCTTTTTCTCTCGACTCGCCTGATGTTATTTCTGTAGGTCGCGCAACTCTCATAAAGCCATCCTACTTTGCTCATCCACCTCTGAATTCAGCTCACGGAGCCTCTAGTGCTCCCACTGGCTCTCTAGCTCCTCCTACAGCTTCTGTGCAACCTTCACATGGTCTTCCGTTCTCTCAACATTTTCCCTCAAGTCCCCCAGTCTCGCTTTCTCAACCCATGCAGTTTAGTGGATCACTATCTAAGGGTGCAGTTCGAGAGGCACTTAATCGCCTGGTCAAGGTAAAAATTTTCGGAGGTTTGAGAATTCACGGTTGCTTTGGGATTGATACGTTTGTTGTCAAGTTTTTTCTTGTAAAATTTAAACTTAATTTGTGTTTGGAAAACTCTATTTTATGAGCTTGGTTGCTTTCGTTGTACTTTTCTAATGCAAAGGGGCAATTTGTTTTGCATGGCAAGGACTTTAATTTCCCCAGAAATTTTTATGCCTCTTAGATTTAAATATTGATTTCAGGATATGGTTGTTGTGCAGAATGAACAATTCATAGACATAGTGTACCGAGAGATAGTGAATAAACATAGTTATTGATACGCTCGAAGAATGGAGGCATGATCAGGATAGCACGCTTGCGAAGATTTCAGAAAATGTTTGGTCTCGACCACGTGTGTTTGGACTTGCACGTACTGTGGTCGGTGGAGCTTACTGAGAAGTATAAAGATTGTTGTGTATGGAGCCGGATAACGGTTTTGAAGACCGTGTCATGCCTCTTGCGGTCCTTTCTACGTACGTATTTGCTGAAATGAGAGCTTCGGACATTGTACAGTAGTTGAAAACAGTACTCTTATAATGAAATGTGACATTGCTGGAACAATGTAATGTACGTAAACTGAGACTCAAGTACTATTGGAGCACCTCAATGAATCTTAAATATGAGGCTTATCTTGTTTGTGCGAAAGCTGCATACCTATTAAAAAAATTCTGGTAACTGCCTTGCATTTCTACTTCAGTCGGAGAGAAAGTAATATAAGGAACAGAAGTCAAAGCATTGCTAAGTTATGAATCCTCTTGCGCTTGCACTGCAGTCCTCCTGCTATCAATCTGGTTATGTTGATGTGGTGGTGACAGATCTGACAAATTCATGATGATTCCAGTGACAGAATACGCTCTACCTGAGAATTAGCAAAATCTCCAACTGATGTGGAGAAGAGCAAGAGTTTTGCGCGGTCACATGGAAATGGTCACAGGCGTTATCATGGTTCCAATTATGCTAGTGAGGAAGGGAAGGACGTAACCTTCTCTGGTAGCAGTGTGAACATCCTTACCGCTTTAGTGTTTTACTTATAAAAATTTTCGGCTCTTGAGGTTGCTCTGCTGGCTGCATACGAACCGGCCCTTTGTTTGTACCATGCTTTTCTGGTCTATACACCGACCGCTTGAACTAATTTGATTGTGTCAGAAGCGATCAACTTCAGTTTTCACAGATAAAGACAGTCAGTAAATTGTGAGAAATAATGTGTTTGAAGAAATACGCTCGCTGGAGATGGCATTCCTCCCGATCCATGAAAATTTCGGCACCTCGAGTCGGAATTCGCACATAAGCCTCACAGCTCGAGTGTCAATCCATTAGAAGCACGATGACAGGGACAAAGTGGTGTTAAGTTTTAATGTACATGTCCATTGGCTTGTGGAGACCAACAGTTGCACCAGACGCTGGTAGAAGCTATGAATCGTAGGACAAACCACATCAAGCATTTCAGTAGGGTATGGCTGTTCGTTTACTCTAATTAAGCAGATGGACTGTAAGTCGAATTTGTGGAAGCTCAATTGACGGACATGTAATCGGGTCGTTTCTCAGAGAAAGACAGAGAGACGTTGTGCTCAGAACAAATACTAAGTGTCCGCGTCACAAGCGATGCACTCTTCCCTACAGTTCTCGAACTTCAGACGACTTCGTGCTATTCTACCGACTGCTAGGATTTTCCTTTCCCCTTAGTTATTACTGGTAAAACTGGTGTTCTGGTACATTGTGAATACGAACTAGAAAGTATACGAATCATGCATACCAGATTTGTACCCACAAACAACGAAAATACTTTTGAGGCTGCGGCTATACTCACATTCCTTAAAATGCATAAGCAACTCATAAGAGACATCGATAGAGTCACAGCTGCAGAGTATGGGGCAATTTGGTGGAAAGCAATGGAGTATCTGCATAAAATGGAAGCGACAGTAGAGTCCGATCCAAACGTGTTTCATGCCTTTCTGGGCGTGTTGAAGGATACCAAAGAAGAGATCATGCAGGTAATTAGAGATAACAAGCAGTACGTTACACAATGCGCATGCATGTATTTTGCGAAATACTCACACCTGATCGTCAGCTTGGACGAGTTCCTTGAAGTCCATGAAGAGCACTCCGTTGGTTCAGTTGAAGTCAAAGAAGAGCACATCCATGTTCCAACTGAGGCAGTACCATCCCCAGAGCTGATGCCGCCGGCGCCATTGCTTGAACTCAAGCAGAGGGAACGAGAGGAGGCAATCAATATTTTCTGTAGCAAGGTGCAGATGCGGTTAAAGCATTTGGACCAGGCAGCGGACACGAAAATCCGGATCATTCTGCAACAAACTCTCGACAAGTCCATTTCCACCGAGCAAGCGAAGAGGGAAATGTCGCTACTGTTGCAACATCACAACTACCTATGGAAAGAGTTTGAGCAATTCTTGCCTGAGGAACACAGAGCAGGATCGTCAACTGCTGCTATAGACCATCTCCAATAACCACTCTTATCCTTTACAAAGATCTGCATGGCCTTCAAAACCTCTGCTACAGTTCTCCTTTGGCAACTTTCAAACACGTTGACACATAGGATCTGGCCGGAAGAAAGCATTGGAGGCGGTGCGGGGGGAGAAACCGATATTCGCCGGTGCAAAGCCAGTCATGGATTCACACCAAGATGCCAGCAGGGTGAAGAGGACATTTAAAATGAATTCAAACAATTATCTACCATCGCCATGCAGGTTTTTCAAGGTTGTGTAGTGCTGCTATTCTCTTCCTTGTTCAGGGTTGTTTAGTTCCGTGATGCGCAGTTATATCCTGTAGGCTGATGCTATGAACAATATCACAGCTATGAACAATTTCACAGGAAACGCCCTCCCAGAATTCCAGTCTTCATGGAAAACAGAAAAAATAAACAAACAAACAAACAAACAAACATACAGAATATATGTACACACACACACACACATATATGTATATATATATATATATATATTCATACATTTATGCAATTCATCTATTTTTTTACTTTATTTTTTTGACGTAAGCTCCGCTTGTTAATAGGAGCGCAACAATACAAAAATCCGACTACTCATCCTTAATCTCCCTAACATGAAACAATAAAATCACGAATCCTAAATCGAGAGAATGGAAATGTGTCTTCAGGAGGTGATATTTCTCATTTAAAAAGGTCCACTCTCATTTGGACTCCGCATCGTAACGTTCACACATTCATACTGAGCACATCCCAATTGCCAATCGGAGACATTGATAACCACTACTCACCGATACAGTGGCAGATTCAAGAGCTTTCCCTCGGCAAAATGCCTGCTTATCATCTGCATTCCTGTCTAAAGGAGCAATGTCTACGATTACACGATCGTAATTCACTCATGAATCGCTTTCTGTTTTCATCAAATTGCTTGCCCGTGAAGCTTCTCGGGCTCCAATCGTCGGCGTGGTAGGTGTTGGGATAAGCCCACCGACATTGCACGGCGCATCTCGGTCTGGTTGACCGATGAGCGCCGACTGTCGGTAAGTGAGCCTTCAGTTGATTAGTTCAAGGTTCAGATGTGATGTGCATAATCTTCGAAGATGAAACACAATTTTATTTATGTTTTTCCAGAAAAATAATGAGGACTGTTTACATGTGAACTATCAAGCATGAAACAGAATTACTAGCACTCTAAATAGAAAGTTTTTAGAGTATTAGTAAACAGAATAGTAGTATGTAGACAAAACCCGAACACTCTGTCTCATGGGGCGGGCAGCGGTCAGGGTTTACTATGCTGCCCGAGTTCATCCATCCATCTCATCAAATAATTGAATGAACAATAGATGAATGCCCCTGTGCACGAGGTGCCCTGTCAAACCGACACTGCGATTTTAGGGTTTATGAGTGTTAATGAGAGGAGCATGGCGTGATGGCGTGGTGTGGTTAAGGAATTTTGTGTTTTGGAATTAGAGTGGATTAAATTTGTGCCGGAGTGATGACAGAGGCCGTAGCTAGGCAGCTGCGTGATGGAGTGGCAGTTGGCGAACAAGCGCCGGCCGTGATGGTGCGGGACACATTGGACACTCGAGCAGGGCCAGCAATTTCCGATCATTTCTTTTCTTCCCTTTGCTCTAATATTGAAGCTGCACGAGCTCAGGCCAAGTATGACGTTGCTCGACAGCTTCTTACTTTGCTGTTGCACGTATCCTTGTTGCTGCTTTTAATTTTTTGCGAGCACGATGCTGTAACCGTGAAAGTAATAAGTTGTGTTATCCGTGGGGTGATGTTTAGAGTAGTTTGTTTGGTAATCAGTTCGCTGGAATTTCGATATTGCAGTGTTTTATAGCACGTTGGACGTTTTAGAATTGATGCAGCATTAAGTGATACGTTAATTTTGTATTGATGGTGTTGATAATAATTTTCATGTTTTTAGGGGATTAGTGGCTGTGGCATTACGCCGCACCCCGGAGAGCTATACGGTTACATCCCCATTTAGGAAGGGCAATTTCAAGCCTGGTCACTGGTTTGTAACTCCACTATTCATGTTGATTGTATGTGGCTTGCTGGGATGACGTACTGTTGCCTTATTGGAAGCTCTACTCTTATTGTTTTATTGAATTTTTTCCAATTCAAGGAAAGTATCAATAGATTCTGAAATATTTAAAATTATAAATTATCTACTTTGCAGAACAGTTGCTAAGCAGTCTTCCTTACTTTCTCCTTGGGTGGAAAGGCTTCAGGTCGTAGACTGTTACACTGATCCACTTGGCTGGAATAAAGTGGCGGATCCTGGGAAAGAAGACAACTCCAGTCAAACAGATTTGCCCACTCAAATTACAGTTTGTCACGATGTGACCAATTTGACGAGCCTTCTCGCATATGTCCTCGACTCAGGGCAAGGTATTCCTTTTATTGCTCTTCGAAAAAGTTTATTTTCCTGCTAAGATGGTTCTTTCATATCAATGTTTGAAGTTAGACCTAAGTCGAATATAGTCTCATCTTTATTTTTCTTTACTCATGCATAGCACGTGATGATTTACATTTGCAAGTTACGGCATGGTGTTCATTTTGTTTCTTTTAGACTTGATTGATTTTATGGATGGGCAGACAGTCGGATAGGCGTGCAAGTTTAGTTAGTTTACTTCTAAATTGATACTCCTAAATACAATAAATTTGAAGTATATCTCCTTGCTGATTTACTGTTTTTGACGACTCTTCAGCTGCAGTCGACAACCGAGCGACAGAGCGATTTGTCGTTCTCATCGACTCTGTAAGATTTTTGGCTTTTTGTTGTATTGGTGTTTCAGTATCCACTTGCTTTTGAACAGTTTCAAATATGTGTGAATGTAGGGCACGATTTTCTGTTAGTGAGGTTCTCATATCATATTTTTTTCAAGTTATTATTTTTTGTTTTTTGTTATAAGTAGCTAAAATTTGACTTTTCTTCTTTGTTACAACGCAGTAATTTAGGGCAGAATGACAAACTTCGTGCTCACTAACTGCTCTCAAATTTATTATGCGATCCTGCAGGTGAGTGTTCTTCTTCGATACCACACACTACCTGCTCTTACCAGTTTCCTAAGTGCTCTACGCTCTTGTGGTATTACTTCGTTCTTAAAGCTGTGTGTGATTTGTTCATGCAAAACCCATTCTCGACCAATAGTGGTTGCTATCTCTTTGTTTCATGGCTAGGTATGTTATAAAAGGTTTCACTAGTTTTAAAGCTTGTTGGCTTTGAGCAGGGCAAGTGTCAGCAGTTCTGTGGCTTGTGCATGCTGATCTGCATGAATCAAGGGTGGTAGCTAGCATTGAGTATCTTTCAACAACAGTGATTCATGTGGAACCTCAACTTCAGTTACCCTCAGAAGCTAAGATTTTGAACCTACGACGGGGAAGGATTCGAGTCCGCACAAAAAAGCGCAATGGTCGCGTACGAGAACAGGTAAAAGGCAATCACTTTCAGTAGCCCCGCAGCAGATTGCTCTAAGAGATCTTAACTAAAGACAATCACCACCTCTGTTTTTTAGTTATTCAATGTCCATGTTTCAGGCTTTGGGTTTTGTTGACAAGCGATGTGAATTATGTATGGCCTTCAACATATGACCAGGTTGAGGAGTTCTTCATTGAACTAGTAGGTGTCAACTTCTCGCCCGTTACTTTAGTGAAGGATATGAATCCACCGACGGTGATGAAGACTACTACACCCAAGGTAGAGACATTCCAACATGCCTTTCCTGTTATTTCAATATTTTCACAAGCTCCAGGGAGGGGCGCAGGTCTAGCTGAAGCGTCACGGTTGTGGGGTCCATTTGACATTGAACGATGAGTTCTGCGTTTCATTTCACAGGTACAGTTTAATTTGGATCTTTCGGAGAAAGAGCGAGAAGATAGGTCCAAGGTCATATTGCCATTCGAGCATCAAGGTTTGCCATCTTGGACTTTAGTGAAGATGCAAAGGGGGGTAGCTACTGCATGTGTACTAAATCAGAGGGGTCTTCATTGTTGGTGGTTTATGTCCAATTTAAGAGCATGATCTGTGATCCCAACTTTGAAGATATGCACATGAATTTGACACTCTTGAAATCTTTCAGGGGACGGAAGGGAGGCGCATATCTACGACGGAAGACCAGATCCAGTTGATTCTCAGTTCAGAAAGCTAGGATTGAGCAGAAATCCCTCAAAGGACAATGATTCCCAAAATCTTGGGTCATCTCAGGGTGTTGTAGGAGAAATACACTATTTGAGGGATTCGGATGATGAACGACCAGACTCTGATGAAGATCCTGACGATGATCTTGACATATAAATAAATAATAATTGTTTGCACCGCATAAATGATAATTGCTTGACATTTCGGCACCGTTGCAATGTTTTACCTAACCAAAAGACACTGTATGGGTCACCTTTCTTATGACTCAAAGCCCTCATCCAATTCGTGCAATCTGAGGCGCTTTAGGAACCTATAACGGGACATGAACTACAGGTAACATAGCTCTAGACTTGTAGGTTCCAGAATTGAGAGTGTAATGTGGATGAACCCAAGAGGACCTTGCCAAACAACTGCTTCCGTGCTTTATAACATGATTTTGTTTTGATCCTTTCGCAACCTGAAACCCACCCTAGAATATTTCGACGATGCCATATTCAAGAAATCCCGGTGACGGAGAACATGCATTACCATGCGTACGCACACTCACACACGTACGTGACACGATTGGGATAGAATGGCAATGGTGCTGATCTCAGTCCTCTTCTGACGTCCTAATGCGTGGGATACACGTTGGCATGGAACTTTGGCCAAAAGTTCCTTCGCGTCGAAAAGCGCAGATAGTTCGAGCGAAAGATATCTTGCTCCTAGTGCTTTGCCGCATTGGTCGTAGATGTAACAGATCTTAACGGTCTGGGCGGGGCGATGAGAAAGGAAAAGGGCGGTACTGAGGGAGGAAGCGTAAGGCCAGTGCTTCTCGCGTGTGTATGTGTCTCACATTCAGGTTCTGGGTGCGCAATTTTTGGATTGAAGAGATCTCCGAGCGGTGGTGTGTGTGCATGTTGCGATTCGTTTGAGTTTTTTTTTATCTTTTAACCTGAACATGGCATGTGAAAGAGAGATGTGAAGTCGGAAACAGTGATCGAGCTTGTGTGCACTTTGAGGCGGTGGTAAGCCAAGGGCAGCGAAGCAAGCGATCGGCAAGGGTGGGGTGTTCAATAATGTTTGATTAGCTTTGAAGTTTTTATTGGAAGACTTTATGAAACTTAGTTTCACAGAATAGCATTCTTTGCACAAGAAGAATTTGTAATTTGTCGTGGCTACTCACGGCCATCCACTTTGACGTTCGACGATTGTAGTTATGGCAACGGCTCAGCTACATGGGCGCTGGAATTTGACGCCTTCCCGAGCCTTGCCTGACAGGAAGAGCAGATTCGAAAACCTTCGGTTATGTGGGCTTCCTCTCTTGACTGAACAAGCAGACCTGAAAGGACTTCGAATTGCTAAAAAATCGTCAAGGAGAAGAAATAATGGTGAGATTTTGATAAGTCTCTGAGCTCTGCAGTTTACCCGATGTTCTGAAGGAGATTCTGATGGAATGCAGGGACAGAAATTTTTGAAATTGTAGGTGCTTTAGGAAGAAAAAGACAACGACGAGTAGAACTTGATAGCAAACTCATGCTTAGGATGAGTGGCTAGATTCTCGGCGTTGAAGAACAAAACTCGGTTGTAATCTTCGTAGATACTTCGTACATCCATGTGTCATTGCGGAGATGATGGTGCGTTAGGTTGAACACTTGAACCTGGAAAGTGATTACCAGTGTCTTCAACTCAATCTTCGGAGTTTTGCCTTCTTTCAACCGCTGACAACCAATGCTTTTTGGGTTTGTTTCTGTTCTAGGTCTAGTGACTGCAGCCCATACAGCAAGAGGATCAGCTATTGACCATGGATACGACTTATACGAGCTCTTGGGGGTGGAGACTGACGCGCCATTTCCTGAGATCAAGCAAGCGTATAGATGGCTGCAGAAGAGATGTCATCCAGATATTGCCGGACCTATCGGCCACGACATGTCCATATTGCTCAACGATGCTTACGCCACCCTTCAGGATCCCATGCAGCGAGCAGCATACGATGTGGTGAGTCTTCGATTCTAAAATCAATGTACTTAAAGTACCAATGGACACGCTTCTTTGTGTTTGTTTAGACAGAATTTCGGAAGAAGTGTTGGACAATTGAAGTGACATTTGGTTGTTGGTGTTGTTTGTGGCACAGAAACGTGTTGAAAGGGCTGCATTTGATGGCTACACTGGTAAACCCTTGTATTCCAAATGGTTAGGCCCCGAAGAGGAAGACCGAGCAATCTTTGTGGACGAGTCGCAATGCGTGGGCTGTCTGAAGTGCGCACTTATAGCCTCCAACACATTCGCCATCGAGAATCGTTACGGACGAGCTCGAGCTGTGGGTCAGTGGGGCAATTCGGAGGCCACCATTAGCGATGCAATTCGGGCTTGTCCTGTGGACTGCATCTCGTAAGTCTCGTCACTAGTACCTACTTACATTCGGTAGCTGCTTACATCCTAATTTGCCATAGCGAGGTACCCTGAGATGATTATTCACATTTAAGTGTTCTCACGACATTTCTATGCAGATTTGTACAAAGAGACAAGCTTCCCGCCTTGGAATTTGTCATGACAAAGCAACCTCGAGTAATCGTTGGCGTTGACATGTACTCGTACGGTGGCCAGAGAAATGAAAACGTTTTTGCAGCAGCTGAGAAGTTTCTGAAGCGGTGTGCGGAACGTGAGCTATCCAAAAGGTCAAACCTGCAAGTAAGCAATGCTTCGCAGCTCAAGTTCATTGCACTGATTTTGATGGTTTTCATTGAATACAGCTGCTAAAAAATGCGTTTAAAATTGTTCCAGGAAACACCAGCTCAGAGAGAGGCACGAATGGCAGCTGCAGAGAATATCCAAGCTCGAGCAGGTCGTTGGTGGCACCATTTCGTTGGAGTTGATCCTTCTGATTTGGATTCTGTGCGTGCTTGCAGAGGAGCAATTGTACCTCTGAGCTGGATACCTTCAACTGGAAGAGTGAGCTCAACTGCTTCCCATACCTACCAAGGGCCTAGTATACCTGAAGAGCTTGGTCGTTTATTTGAAGCTGCTAGGAGGCGACGGCAAGGAAACGGCGAAGAAGGTAATGTGCTTGCAGAAGACGATTACTGGACCCCTGTAAAGCATGTGTCAAGATCCGTACCTTCAGAGGAAAAGCGTGCAACTGGTCCGAGGAGGGAATCAAAACCAGGAAAACCTGGAAATAGCTATGAACCAAAGTGGGCAGGGATTTCTGATCTCCAAATGGGTGACGAGGTGCTCAGTGGGTGGTTGAAATCCGGCTTGTCGGCTATTCCAGTGACGGCGTCCTTGATCGGAGCTGTTTCTGCTAGTATGACGAACGGGTTGGGTGCTGCAAATTCTTCTGACATTTCATCTGGCCCATTGCCGGCTGAAATCACCTCAGGCATTTTCATGCAAGTGTTCCTGGCCGCTGCAGTTTGGTACATGATTGGCGCTGTGGTCGGCGGCCTTGCCACATTGTTGGTTGTGTCAGCCATCACGATAAAACGCAACAAGGACTGAGCATGCAACCAGTGACATTCAATATTCTTGCAAGAAAGAAGTTATTACAATTACTGCCAAAGAATTAGTCGAAATCAATGTCATCCTCCAGTAACTTCCGAACTGAACCTGTTTACTGATGCCAGAGATGTCCAGCAACAAAAATACAATATGTTTAGTCTGTACTATACAATAATTCGAATGCTAAGCATCCCATTATTCGTTATTAATCAGGGAATATATACCAATGTTATAATACTGATTGAACTATCTAGTCAGATGAATTTTTGGAAACATCCTATAGTACAAGGATCGAATTCGATTCTCCTGTAAAACGAAATTGCCATTTGAGGAACTTGATTGATGTGTGCTATAGTGCTTGGTGAACAGATTTGTAATTGAGTGCCACAAATTTTAAAAACGCAAGCAGAGGCTCATTATTTCGCTTTGTGAGCAATATCTATAATGATGGACGGAAGAAATTGTCACCTCCAAATTTCAACACATTTACCCAGGAAGAACACCAGCTCTAAGTACCTCAACGACGGAAATGAAAAGCTCTAGGTCTTCATTAAACCTCACATCAAAGTGATAAAAAACACATACTCCCAAACGCTACTATAAGATTTACGAATGATCTGTACAATAGTGCCTCACATCCTCGTCATGAAAAATTGAACGGTGGCGAAATGCAAAGCGTGACACCGGCAACGATGAGCAAGACGCCAGCAATGGTTTCAACAAGCCTAAAGTTCTCCCCGAGAGCAGCGCCAGCGACAGCCGTGACGGCGAACGTGGTGGCATTCGTAACGGGCACTGCCAGAGTAATAGGGCTATCCCCAAGCTTAATGACAAATAAAACGGACATGGAGAGATTGAGCAAAAAGGGGACCGAGTATTGCCATACGCACAGCAATCGAAACCAGTCCAGGAAAAACCCCCCAACGACGCCGCCTAAGTTCTTTTTAAGTGCCGTGCGCTGCTTCGCTGTGCGCTTCACCTCTTCCGCAATGAGAGCTCCGCGCTTGATGAGTGCATTCGTGATTCCCCACACCGTGCCGATAGCTAACAGCCAGGGCACCACCGCCATCGCCACAAATTGAGAGCTCCGACCCTGCAATTCCAACAATCACAGGCAGTAGACACGGTGTCGATCTGGAGAACGCTTTAACAAGCCAAGCTTCCCACCATCCAAGCGAGGTTCTCGTCCCACAGTTCTCGTTTCGGTCTTGTCGGGAGGTTTTCGTTTCGGATTGGTTCGTTGCGTATGATGGAAATTCAGACGATTGATTAATTAGTTCTGGATTTTGAATACTTGGATAATTGTATGTATGTATGTATACACATATTTATTATGTATTTTCAATAAAGCACTGGAATCAATACACCATCTTAAAAAATAGGTTTCAATTTCTGGAGACATACATTTTAATATCAGTGGGAAAGACATTGAACATTTTCATAAGTTAACTGAATCTATGTATCATACTTTTTATGAAGAATTTTAGAAAATAGATGCTTGTGGTATAAAAGAATGAATTCTAATTGGCCAATTTCAAAAATTGGAATCTTTCATTTCCTACAATAAATAAATTTCTTTAATAAATTAATGTTCAATGTAATATTCTTTTCTCCTTATTTTTTCATTTTTTATTATTTCATGTTATTAATTTATGTGGTAACTAAGATCATTTCTATAAATAAAATTCCTAAAATATATTAACTTAATAAAATGGTTATCCAATTGTTATTTTTTATTTTTTGCATGTTTATTCTTATGTTTACTTTCTTGCTAAAAGGTTTTTTTTTTTTTTTTTTTTTTTATTTTTTAAATACATATTTCTTCTAATTTTTATTTTTCGAATTTTATTCTTTATAGGTCTATATATATATATATATATATATATATATATATTCGTTTTTTCTTGATATTATTTTACAGCATATATTTTTGATATTTATTATTGAAAAAAGTAATTATATATTAATTCAAACTAAACTTTTAAATCAAACAAAATAAAAGACCTATAAATCAATACTTAAATAAATTTACTGTAAATATTAATCATAATATTATATATAGTACAAATAGGCATGATTTTTTTTAATATTGTAATATCAACTTGTTTTTAATATTTTTAAATATAAAAATAAAAAAAAAAATTATTATATCTTAACATAAGTTGTATGCATACAACTTATTATTTATTTAGACAATTTGGTGCCAATTGATAAAAACTTGTTATGAGTATAATGTAGGACTTTAAAATAAAATAACATCTTTCAAAATTTTAATTTTAGGATTTTGAATTAGATGCCATATACTTTTATTTTGTTTTATTGTACATTATTTTTTTTAATAAGTATTTAAAAAAAATTTCTTTAGTTTTGAGTGGCTAACAACCAACTTCTGAACAATCCAAGATTTAGTACAAACAATTTTATAAAAAATATACAGAATGATATTTACACTTCTTAAGTGAATATAGAAATTATATATTTTATTTTATAAAGATAAAATATTGACTACAAATATTTCAGTAGATCAAAGATCTAATTCATATAAAATGAACCAAACTTAAAATGTAATCATATGTATTAAAAGAAAAAACATAAAAAATAATAAAATTATAAAATCATTTATTAATATAAATTATTAAAACCAAATTTCACAAATCTTATTATTAAAAAAAATCAAGTATTTAGTTTAAAAAACTAGTTTATTTAATGGCATTCTAGGAAAAGTGCTATATTCATCCAAAAACCTATATATTGTTACTAAGTCACCTTAAATAAATCATTTGAATAAACCTAAGTGCAATATCAATTTTAATCTCAAATTAATATTCAAAATTGGTTCATATAAGCATAAATATTTTTATTGATTTTTTACCATCTTGTGATTAAGCTTTCAGTTTCTTATAATATAATACTTTTTTGCCTGTTTCTTTTGGTATTGTAGCATATTTTAAGAAACAAACTATGACATAATTTTATGACCTAAAAAGATATAAATAAAAGTATCACTTATTTTTCTTCTATAGAATAAAATATGTTATAATAAAATTATTAATTAAAAAAATATACATTATAAAAAACTAAAATATTTTCTTTTGTAGGATTAATATCAATTGTACTTTTTAAATGCACAAAATAAATGTGGAGGTGTATGTCAATTTTTATATTATGAGAAAGTAGCTCAAAAACTTCTTATTTATTGATATATTTTAATTATTAGATTTTAGATATATCTTTTGAATAATAACATTAAATTTATTAAACTAATATATTAATACCATGTTATAGAATAATGATATTAAATATAAGGTAAGGTAAAAGATATTTGTAATACTATCTTTAAGCTTCTTTTATATAATCTGAAAACATTGTATTTTACATGCATAAGTTTTAAAAACTTAATATCATTCTTGTATGCATCAATTACATATTGAGAGCTCTAAGCTTTAAAATATTTTGTATAAAATAGTACAAAACATATGAATATTACATCTCAAGACCAAAACAAAAAAAATTCAAGTATATAAATCACAATAGAAACTAAAAGATAATGTATTCTTGTATCATTAAAGAAGGAAGAAAGTAAAGAAAGAAATTACAATTATAAGATAAAAAACAACTAAAATAATTATTGCTAAACACAAAGAAATTAGGAAGACTTTAGCTAAGATTAAAACACAAGAAAGGTATTGATAAGATTGAAGATGGCATTTGTTTTACCTCTACATGTACTAGCTAATAAGAATATCTTGTAGAAGCTTCTTAGAGATTGCAAGGCTTGTGGCTTAAGAATCAAATTGTAAGTTGCTTCTAATATGACTTCTTAAAAATAAGAAACTTATGGAATTGATTTTAATGATTACATGACATATCTATAAAAGTCCAAATATCAAACATACATCTATGAAGCTTTTTTAAGGCTTCTTAAAGAAGAAACTATCTTTTTAACATATTTCTATCTACTTCTACCCATACCTATTTATTTTCATAATATAGATATCTATTACAAAAATTTATAATTTATTTGGATATTTTTACAATCTTGTGGATGTTAATTGCTAAATCTAATATTAAACTAAAATTTAAAATCTCAACTACTAATTCTTTAGCTAGTTTTTTTAATATAAAAAATATTCATACTATTTAATTTAACATAGAAATTATAATAAGAAATTATATGTATAGAATTAAAGAAAAAGTATGTTTTAAAAATAAATAAATAAATAAAAATTACTACTCTCATATCTTATTAAAAAATCAAGAATAAAAACAATCGCAATCTAAAGATTACTTATCAGTCCAATGAATGTGTCAAGGTTGATGTGCAAGGCTATTTGTCATTGCAAACAAAAACATGCATAAGAATTTTCTTACCAAATTTATGCTTATTTTAATAAATTTATAAAATTTATATTTTTTTCATTATATTTTTATTATCTAGTTATTCAAATTACTATAATTAAAAGATTAAAGAAATCACTCTAATAAAATAATCCATAGCTACCAAGATATCTTAGTCTTTTATATCTACAATCTTAATACATGTCATATGAGTAAATGATAAATCATGTACAAATGTGAATAAATTACATAAACTGAAAAAATATAAAGATTGAATAAAAGTATAAAAGCTATTTTAAGATACAATTTTTTTTTTTTTTTTTTTTTTTTTTTTTTTTTTTTTTTTAATAAATTATAACATAACAATACTATAAAGATAAAATTAAACTTAGATTTAATTTAGAACTGATAATCATTTCTTAAAAGTCTTAAATCTAAAAATTAAGAATGAAAATAGAAGAAACAAAAAAAAAAAAAAAGGTTCTCACATATTTTTGTAAATAATAAAAATAATAGGCAAGAAATAAACTTATGATAATGATGGTAGTTTTTTTTTTACTATAGAAAAATACACTTTAAGTTTTAATATACATCTAAATTAAAAACAAAATAAAGTATAGTCTAGTCCAAGAATTCATCTTCTTTGCTAATGCTAAATTCTTTTTTTAATTGATAAGTCGTATACTTATAGATTGGTGTTTTATCAACTTATTAAACCAAATAAATCAACATTTACCTACTTTGATAAGAAAAAAATATGCCAAGAGGTCTACATTGCTAACAAAGTTTCTTGGAAGAAAGAAAATTAAAAAATTATTCTTTTCTTAAAATCATTAAATTTAATAATTTTAAAATTAAAATTCTATTTATAATTTTAAAATCTCTATTTCCTTCAAATTTCTATTCTTTGAAATAAACCACACTTAAAGAACTTTATCTAGATGTACTAAAATTCCTACAAAATAGTTTCTAATTTTATATTGGTAAATATATTTTTAATAAAAAAATAAAAAAATTACTTTCATTAGATATTTTTGATAGAATAGTTTTGCTAATTTCTAAAATATTTTAAACACAAAGGATATTTGTTTTTCTAAATAATTTTTATGATGTTTGTATTCTTAAATTTATAACTATATTGCAACATAAAAATAAAAGGTCAATTTGATAATTTAGTATTAAAATAATATTCTATTCTATGATATCTAAATTCGTCTCTTTATAAGCATAACATATGCTACAAAGTAGAAAATCATAACCTTATTGGTATTTGCATCAAATTCTAATAAAAAAATGCTTTCAAATATATCAATAGTTTTGCTTCTTTTTTAACGATCTCACTTGTATTTTGTACCTAGATCAATAATATTTCTATATATAGTAAAAAAATAAATCTTATTTAGATTTTAACAATATTAATTCAAAACAAGAGACATGTTTAGTTTTTATTTGATAGACCTAAAGATCTTGTTGCTAAAAAATTAAAAAATATGCATCAAGAAATTAGAATTATTAAAAAAATTCTTTATATCCAGTGTAAGAATAATAAATAAATCAATATTTTATTTTTTTATTTTTCTAATTTTTTATTTAAAATAAATATTTCTATAAAAATTAATAATAAATAAACTAGTAATTTTTATAAAAAATAATATAGCAATTTGATTTGAAAAAATATTAAAATATCATTAATTTATTTATTATAAATTTAATAATAGTTGGATGTTTGTATTCTTAAATTTATTATTATTTTATTTAGGTAGAAAAATAATTTATATTTTATTAATTATAAAAAATAAAATAATCTCTTATTTATTTTATTTCATTAATCTAATTATATTAGAAAAGATGTCATAA